AATAGCTGCCTAAATTCAAGGTTCCATACCTACAAGAGTAAAAAGGACACTTATATTACATGCAAACTTCTAAAACAAGATAGAGCAAACCATACTGTATGAACATCATAATATTTTAACATTATGAACATGCTATTTAGTCAAAGGTACAGGTGATGTGCAAGTGATTTTGCAAAGTCACATAGGCTGAGCATGTAGCAATTTTTTTTGTATCGTATGCGCTTCTTCAGCACCATATAAATAGTTATTTCCTTCGGAGCCTCTTTCCCAATATTGCACAATTCAGATTGAGGATTATCTATATTTTTGGTGAATTATATTCTAACAAGAATTACTGTCGATATCTAACTGCACTTTAGGCACTATAAAAAGATGGCAAGGACCTTGTGGGGACACAGAAAAATTGCCCCAAATCAATAAGCAGAATGCATTCTGACATGCTGAAATGAGCCTCGAATCTTCACATGTTGTATTTAAACAGCATATAATGTGGAAAGTTGGTGGGTGAACCAATCCATGAGCATGAATGCATTGCACACCTTATTTGTACATATAAGAGTAGTGGTAACCTCCAAAGTAAAAGGGAAAAACTTTCTCAAAATAGCAGAAGGGTGAAAAAGGAAAGAAAATTGAATACAACAAAGAGCTATCTCTCAATGCCATACCTGGATTTCATTCTCATTAGAAACTGCAATTAGTAGCCCCTGGTTTTGTATAAACTGCAATACATAACAATCCATTACTCACTTTTACAACTGGCAATCAGATTTATGGTTTTAGAGATTACGAAAAACGCAAGCAAGTACAAAGTAGCTAGTTACTAGTGTAACATGCAAAAGTAGCTTCTGGTGGCATACAGTTGCTTCAGAGAACTATATAATTAAGGCAGACGGTGAAAGTGTATAATTTACTGAGGCAAGTAACATGGAAGGAACCCCAAGGACTGTACTGGCTAGAGTTTCAGTCAAAGATAAAATCGACTTCACTAGAACAGGAACACCATCATCCACTTCATACCAACCCAAACAGGGGGAAAAACGACTCGACATTTTTCCATGGAGTTCATTGTCTACACACACGCATTGTGAAAGTAGAGAATGACCAGTCATTGGATGGAGTGCCAAACCTGAAGATACTTGTATGGCATGCTCTTTGGCGATATGAGGATGCCTTCGATATTATCACCTCCAAAGATTTTTATCCTGCCATCCCTGCAGTTTGAAGCGCAGTCACCATCAATTCAACATGAGGCGAACATAACATGGACGCAGAAAATGTGCGTGCTCAAGGGCTTGCTGGTATGTTGTATTAACTTGAGCACTCGACTCGAGCAACGATCTGAACCGCATAAGGCCTCAAGCTTAAGAGTTGAACGCATGACCGCACACTACAAATGACCTAATTTACATGCGTGTTTGGATGTCTTGCTATATGACACAAGAAATGGCTTGTTGCTCGGATTCAGAGGGTGGTAACACAACTTGACAGAGATATCAGCTTCGGTTTTACTTATTTTGCAGTGTAGGCAAAGTTGGGACGAGTGGAGGGAGGTTGGGGACTCACAGCGTCCCGACGGCGAGGAGCCGCTGCACGGGGTCGAACGCCATGACGGAGGCGGCGTAGGGGACGCCGTAGTGGAGCGCGATCTGCGCGTCCAGCTGGGCCACATCGCCGGCCGCCCCTCCTCCTCCTCCTCCACCTCCTCCTTTTTCTCCGCCTCCTCCCTGCAGCAACAGCCAAAGCACACGGAATCACCACCACGTCCACGGGCAGCGCCAGAGGAAAGCCCCGACGGCCAGCCCCGGCGAAGATGATCTGGCCGACCCCAGGGGAGGGGTTCCCCCAAATCTGGCGGGATAGAGTGGGAGAGGGGACGGGGCGAGACCTGGTGCAGCTTCTTCAGCAAGAAGCGCTTCGCGAACATCGGGGACGGGGCGGTTCGATGCCGGCGGCGGCGGCGGCGGCGACGGCGGCGAGGACTGGTGACTGGTTCGCAGGGGGAGCAGGTGAGGTGAAGACGAAAGGGGGCGAGAGCGACTATGGTAAGCGGGTACGGCAACGCAGACGTGCCGGTGGGGGGTGGGGCTCACCGGAACCAGTCGGAGGCCCAACCACGTACCGAGATGGGCCCGCTGCGGCCCATGTCTGGTCAACCCAAAGGCATCGTAGGAGCCTTTTTCGTTTTCCTTCTCTCGCTTTTCCACATTTGGTTTTCTTTGTTCCTTTTTTGGTTTTTCTCGATTTCTTTTTGTTTCTTTGTTGGCTCTTTTCGGTTTTACTTTCTTTCAACACATGTCTACTCCCTCCGTTCCATAATGTAGTGCCTATAGATTTTTTGAAAAGTCAAACCTCACAAACTTTGACCAAGTTTGTGGAGAAAAATATTTACATCTAGAGTGCGAAACATATATCACTAGATTCATCATAAGATGTAGTTTCACATTTTATTTTTTTTGCTATTGTATAGATATAAATATTTTTCTTTATAAACTTGGTCAAAGTTTGTAAAGTTTGACTTCTCAAAAAATCTATAGGCACTGCATTGTGGAACGGAGGGAGTATAAGTCATTTTAAAGATTTCAATGCGGACTACATACAAATGTATAAAGACATATTTTAAAGTGTAGATTCACTCATTTTACTACGTACGTAGTCCCTTTTGGAATCTCTAGAGAGACTTATATCTAGGAACGAAGGGAGTAATTTTTTTAGAACAGAACGTAAATTTTTAGAGCACATGTGAAACATTTTTTTGTATACATGTTGGACATTTTTCAAATATAATACATGATATTTTAAAAAAATATGTGTTTTAAAAAATGAATGCATGGTAACATTTTTCCAAATACATGGTGTACATTTCTTAAATGATAAGAAACATTTTTCTACATTTAACTTGAAAGAGCAAATATTTGTTAACATGTCAAGATATATTCTCTAATGGAAATAAACTTTTCTTTAACTTTTTTTTGAACATCAGTACAGACACAAGCGCTTATATACACGCGCATACACTCACCCCTATGAACGCACACCGCACACCCTACCCCTATGAGCACCTCCGAGAGACTGAGCCGGCATATCATCTTGAAATTTACGAAGTCATCGTAGGCGCCTCGTCGTCGACGAGAACGTCTCCTCCCACTGAAAGCGCATCGCCGGAAATCCTGAAATAAATCCAGAAATAATGCGAGCACCAGGATTTGAACCCTGATGGGTTGGGGATACCACTGTTCACCTAACCAACTCAACCACAGGTTGATTCGCAACTTTTCTTTAACTTATAGGGACATTTTCTACATCTGTATATAATATTTTTAAATGTCATGAACATTTTTTTAATCATGAAAATATTTCCATAAATATCACATACACATTTTGTAAAACAAAACCAGACTTTTTTTGAAACATGGGAACGCTTTTTCAACATTTATTTTGAATGCGGTAACAATTTTTTTATACTATGTTAACATTTTAAAAAAAATTCCTTTCTAAATTTTGTAAGTTAATTTAAGTTTTGAAAAATATGCATTTAATTTAAAATAAAAGAAGAAAAAAACTCGAGTGACATTAGCAGGACGAGCCACGTCTCACGGGGGCAGCCCACCACAGGCGCCCTGTACGTGAGGCAACCATGTGCCTCGCAGTAGGCAGCACATATCCACACCCAGGCTCTTTTGTCTTTTCAGGGCTCATTAGGTTTATAGGATTTTTAAACCTGATCAAAATGAAAAGTAGAGGATTAGGGTATCCTGCATACTCTGATACTTAGAAAGTTTGCCATGTGGTCTCATCTAATGATACCTCTATTTCTAAAAGAGTGAATGCTAAATGTAGGGAAAACTTCCATTAGTGAAAATCCCGTAGAAATCCTCCAAGCCAAATGAGCCCCTTCGCAACCCGTACTGCGACAACGCCTAAAGAGAAACATCATGGGTCGAGCCTCTCCACCGTCACCCACGCCTAACGCCTCTCTCCTGCTACTTTCATCGGTCTAGCCATTCCTTTGAATCCCCTCTTTTTCAACGTCCTTGAGCCTCACCGCACACGTACCTCATGTAAGTTTCTTCATTGTCTCCTGTTGACGCCTCGTTGGGCGGGATCATCATTGACTTCGACGAGGGCTCATCCTCGACAACACCTGCACTGTCGCCCGTCGCGGCGGACTGTGTCGTTTGCCGGCTCAATCTTAGTGCGTCATGCTCAGTCTCCACGTCGCCTTCATTGTTGTCGGTGTTGTAGACATGACCCATGTCCCCTTGGCCGCGGCTAATAGAGTTCTATCGAATATTTGGTATAAGGCAGGTTATAGTTGGACTTGGATTCAAATTGTGTGAAAACAGGGTATGAAGTCGTATCCTAATAAAACACTTGTATCCTAACCCTCGTATATATGCGAAGGTAGACCCACGATATAATCTACGCCGTCATAATAACCCAAACACGGAAGGGGGGCTGGCGGCATGTGCCGGCACCCGGGTGGCCGGAGTCGGAGCGCCCATAGTACAACCCCGGGATGTAGCCCAACTCAACGTACCTCGTTAACAGATCTCGGTGTCATGCCTCTGTGATTGTCTGATCCTCGACAGATGGACGGCACACCTCGGATTAATTCTGACATTTAGTAGCACTTTCGACACTATTTGGCACCATCATGGCAACAGCACTGGCCGTCGTCGCCATGGCCAGACGCGTCTCCGAGTCCGGCTCGCGGCAGGTCGCCGCCGTCTCCGACTCTACTCCGGCCATCTTCCTACTTTTCTTTTCACGAGATTTTGTTTTCTTACCAAAAAAGATTTCCTTAAAACCAGAATCCCCGAGGCTTATGTGTCCGACTCGCACGAGGTGTTTCGCTCGCGCGATATACCGGCTCGTAACCGACGCCAACACCCGCGATCCGCCGGAAAAACTCGAGTTTGGTAGCAGTATTCATCTTCCCACCGCGTCCGCCGGCCGGAAGCATCGCATCTGTGTCCCGCGCCGGCGCCGGACGAACGATCATGGACATCGCGGAGTACGTCGCGTTCATGGACGGCGGCGGCCGGGGCCCGCGGGGTGACGAGCTGCGGCGGCGGGCCAGGGAGCACCTGCTCGCGTCCGGCTGGACCCTCTACAAGTTCGCCAAGTGCGACGGCCGCCAGGAGCTCCGCTACCGGGCGCCCCACGGCGCCTCCTACATCTCCCTCATCGTCGCCTGCAAGAAGTTCCAGCTCTTCACCACCGCGCCGCCGAGGACCCCCGCGGCCGCTCGCGGGAAGCCGCGTAGGAAGAGGAGCGCGTCGCCGGGTTGTTCGTCCGGGAAGGGGATGGGGAAGGAGATCGCTCGTGTGATAGGCCCGATCGGTGCGGAAAATGGCGGCTGTAAGAGGGGGTTTGGCGACGGCGAGGAGGACGGGTGTGGGCCGGCCGTCGGCAATCCGTTCGCCGGCGAGTGCCGCGCGAGGCACAGGAAGGTGAGGAGGGTCTCCGCGCTCTACGCCGACGACGCCCTCCAGAAGTACGCCGCCAAGAAGAGGAAGAAAGCGTCGGCGTCGGCGTCTCCCGCGGCGTCTCCCCAAAGCTCTGCGTCTCCCGCGGCGTCTCCCCAAAGCTCTGCGTCTCCCGCGGCGTCGCCGTCGCGCGTGCTGCGGCCGAGGCCCAAAGACGGCGACAAGGCAGAGGCGGCGGCGGCGTGCCGGCCGACCCGCGCGAGGACGATCCTCGCGGTGCTCATGGACAAGAAAATCTTCCCCCCGACGGCCAAGATGTCCTACAAGCGATCCAGGGACGAGCCTCCGGCGAAGCAGGGCACGGTCACCGCGCAAGGGACCATACGGTGCGCGTGCGGCTGCGGCGGCAAGGCCTTCACCGTGGCGGAGTTCGCGGCGCACGCTGGCGGCGGATGCGGCGATGACCGCCCGTCGGCGAGCGTGTACCTCAACGACGGCAGGTCGCTGTCGCAGTGTCTGGTGCAGCTGATGCGCGCCCACGGCGGCGGCAGCAGCAGGGCCATGGGCTCGCCGTCGCCGCGCGCGAGGCTGAAGCGCAGATGCCCGCCCGAGCTGGGGGACGGCGACTGGGTGTGCTCCGTCTGCGCCGACTTCGGTGACATGCTGATCTGCGACTGCTGCCCGTCGACGTTCCACCACGGCTGCGTCGGCCTCGACGCCACCCCGCACGGGGAGTGGTTCTGCCCTTCCTGCCGGTGCGCCGTCTGCGGCTCCAGCGAGTTCGAGCTCGACGACGGCCAGTTCACCGACAAGACGGTGATCTACTGCGACCAATGCGAGCGAGAGTGTAAGTACATTCAACACATCCCAAATTACTCCGAGAATCTACAATGTGCATCGAATCAACTACGTAGATGCTTATTCATCTCTGTTAATTTTACAGATCATGCCGGCTGCGTCAGGGGCAGGGGCGACCAGCTCGAGTGCTGCCCGGAAGGGCCATGGCTCTGCGGCCATGACTGCTCGAACATTTTCCAGCGTCTGCAAGGGCTGGTTGGCAGATCAATGCCTACATCAGCGGAAGGCGTGACCTTCACCGTGTTGAGATCAACGAAGCTCCCCGAGGAGGAGGCCATGGCGGCGGAGGAGCACGGGAAGCTGTGCGCGGCGTTCGACGTGCTCCATGAATGCTTCATCACCCTCATCGAGCCGCAGACGCGGACCGACCTCAGCCACGACATCGTCTTCAACAGAGAGTAAGCAAATCTGAATTTTCTTTTCAACATCTCATTTCATTTGTGGAAATCTGAATGTCTTTTCGACATCGTCTTCAACAGAGAGTAAGTAAATCTGAATGTCTTGCTGACAGTTCTTGGATGATTGTGCAGATCGGAGCTGAGACGGCTAAATTTCCGGGGATTCTACGTGGTCGGTCTCGAGAAAGGCGGCGAGCTCATAACCGTGGGCACGCTCAGGTACCCCGGCTACTTGATATCTTCTTCTTATGTAGTACTACATGAAATACATTTTGCCTTGCAAATGCTGAATATAAATCGTCCTTTGTTGGTGCAGGGTGTACGGGAGGAAGGTCGCGGAGCTGCCGCTCGTCGGGACCCGGTTCGTGCATCGCCGGCAAGGGATGTGCCGCCTCCTCATAAACCAACTGGAGAAGGTACGTCTGAAGTTTGATCGTCCAAGAATTGTCCTCCATGATCATCGTCAGAGCTAAACATTTCATGTTTACTGAACTTGCAGTTGCTTGGCGAGTTAGGGGTGGAGAGGCTCGTGCTGCCGGCGGTGCCCGAGCTTCTACCGACATGGACCGGATCCTTCGGTTTCCAGGCCATGAGCCATTCCGACAGGATGGAGATCGCGGAGCACACCGTCATGTGCTTTCAGGGAACCACAATGTGCCACAAGTTCATCGTCAGCGCCGCGACTCCATGAAGATGAAACATGCTGCTACTATGTGCTAGAAATCAAGAGTTCAGGAGAGGATCGCTACACTGACAGACCGGTTGTACATTAGTTTGGTACTAGTGCTGCACATGTATGATGTAGGATGTAGGTGAAAAGTTAAAGTCCATTTTCTGTCGTGTGACTGATGCAGTAATTTGGACTTTTATGAAGGAAATTACTAGCGGAGATCCTATTATTTATAATCTGCTGAAAAGCATGGCATGTGCGACAACAGACCGGTCCAGTAAACAAAAGCAATTTCATCCTGATGATATGCAGAAACATCAAACTGACAACAAAGAATAGAAACAATGGCAAGGAACTCGAGTCATCCTCTCTCGGAGCCAAAGTTCAATGTTAATAATGGGGCTTCTACGCGGTTTTGGCTCGACCACTGGCTTGGTCCGGAGCCCCTCTGGCAGAGCCATTTTGCCATCTACCAACTGGCTACCAACGTTGACATTATGGTGGCCGATGCGCTTAGATGTAACCCTCCCGCCATCTCCTTCAAAAGGCCACTCCTCACTCATGAACGCGCCACCTGGGATGGGCTCCTAGCTAAGGTGCAAGGCTTCACTCTTCTCCCCGAGAAGGACACGGTCTCTTGGTCCCTCACGAACTCTGGGAAGTTCTCGGTCCAATCACTCTACAACAAGATGACCGAAGGACCGTCACTAGACATAGCTAGGGGGCTATGGAAAGCGGCCATCCCTCTGAAGATCAAAATTTTTCTTTGGCAACTCTTCCGAGATCGCCTTCCTTCTTCCAACAACATTGCCATTAGACATGGCCCTTCGGATGGTACTTGCACGCTCTGTGGTCAGCATGAAGATGCCAACCATATCTTTTTCAAGTGCCACCTGGCCCGTTTCGCCTGGAGTGCCGTCCGTTCGGCTTTCGACCAAACCTGGAACCCCAACTCGACGTCGGACCTGCGTAGGCTCCTTCTTGCGTATAGGGGCAGTTTCGGTCGTGTATTGTGGCGATGCGTAGGGGCGCTGTGCTGGTCTCTTTGGACCATTCGCAATAAGATGACGATCGAACACAAGTTCCCTAACCACCCTGCTGACATTATTTTCAAATGCCATGTGTTCCTACAGACATGGACTCCGTTGGGGAAACGGCGTGATGCGGATCGGATGCGGGAAGCCATGGAGCGGATCCGCACGATCCAAGTGGAGGCCCGAGCCTAAGTTGATGCTTTTGGAGCTTTTTTGGCTACCCTTTGGCTGGCTGCCTGTCGCACTGCTATTTATGTTATATCTCCTGGCGGCGGTCAGCTGCTTGTCCTTTGTTTTTTGGCTTCGGCCCTTTTAGCTTGTTAAAACTGTTGTCCCTGTTATGTATTACCTATGGATGCTGCCTGCTGGTGGGCTTTATTAATTTAAAGCCGGACGCATCGTGCGTCTTCGTTCTAAAAAAAAAAACTCGAGTCATCCTCATGTAAGCTATCATGCATCCAACAAGGGCAATTCAGATATCCAGCTCAGGTTAAGGATGTTTGGTTTCTAGGACAAAAAGCTTGAAATGTTAACCTATTTATACACTACAGGAAACGATCGACCAGCCGTCCAAACAACATGGAAGTTAACACCCACCCAAGTAAATTATTGAGTGAAGCAGATGGGTCTATCATGAATCCCAAAATTATTACATACCGTACTCCACATGTAAGCAGCAGCTGAGCAAGAGAAAAAAAAAAGATGATTTATAGTTTCAAATTCCTCACAGAAACTGCATGTGAAATCACCCACCCGCTTCCTTTTCTTCATATTGTCTTTAGTGGCTATGGCATTGTGCCAGATCATCCATAGCCAGATTTTAGTTTTAAGAGGGATTCTAGCTTTCCACATCGGTTGAAAGTCTACTAGGGATCGATCGGAAAAAGTGATTATACATCGATTTCACAGGTTTCTTTGCTACAACAGATGCTACTATGCAAACCCAAGTGATTCATATATATAGAGAACTCAACAGGGAAGCTCACAATTGTGCATCAATTTCTTTTACTCCCTCCGTTCCCAAGTATAAATCTTTTTAGAGATTTCAACAAGGGACTACATACGAAGCAAAATGAGTGAATCTACACTCTAAAATATGTCTATATACATCTTTATGTTGTAGTCCATTTGCCTCTAAAAAGACTTGTATTCAGGAACGGAGGGAGTAGAATATATCACGATTCAGGAGTAACAATGAAATGTTGTAGCTCGGTACACAGTGGAGTTCAAAGCCCTTATATGCTTTCAAAGCTAGGCAATCTCAATGTACATGATTTTTGAATCCTGGTTGTAAACCGTGTCTGCTACTCCTGCGAGTACGGGTATGTCCCACTTCGCTGCCACATGATCCGTGTGTGTTGTGTGTGGGGTAAAAGGGACAAAAGAGGCGGCCCAGCGCGCGGCCTCAAACGGACAAAATGTCCGGATTCCGTCCGTTTTTGACCCATCCCCGGCCCAAACATGCGCTCGGTTTGGGGTGAAACGGACAGCGCGCGGACGGGCGGGACGCGCACGCTTGTCCTCCCCTGGCCCGCCTGTCGGTGGGAGAAACCAAAACTCCCCCCACGCCCATTTGGCGCCATTTGCCCCAAACCCTCCCACGTGCCTCCCGCCACCCCCTCTCTCCCCGGTCCATGGCCGACGCCCCGCCGAGTTCCGACGGCCTGGCCGTCGACCCGCCCGCAAAGGTGAAGAAAAAGGCGCCAAGGAAGCCTCGGTCGGAGTGCACGCCGGAGGAGATCGCCAAGTTGGACGCGAAATCGGCGAAGAGGAGGGAACGGAGAGCGGTCGTCAAGGTCAATGCCGCCGCGGCCAAGTTCGCCGCCCAGCGCGAGGAGCTGGAGGCCGCGCGGCGCAAGGCCGCTGCCGACGAGAAGGAGGACCTCGTCAACAAAGCGCACGCCATCCTCATGCTTGGCATGGGCCGTCCTGCCGGGTTCCCTGCAGCGGCTGTCGGCCCAGCAAGGACAGGCTCGTCGGTCGCCCGGCCTACGCACTGCCAGCCGCCGACGTCGCGCACCGCGCCCATGTCGCCCTGCTTCCCTCCGCCAAGGCACGACGGCCAGGCCCGTTTCTCGGGGTCGCCGGACGTGTTCGCGCTGTCCACACCGCGCCCCGCGGTCGTCATCGACCTCAACATCACGCCTGGGTCCAGTAGCGGCGGGCGGCCGTCCGTCGAGATGCTAAGAAAGCAGGCACGAGCACCGTTCACGGGCACCATGCCGGCCCCCCGCGTCTTGTTTGACGAAATGCCAACCCCAACGCCAGCGGTCGACGACCCCTTCTACAACCGCTACATGGAGGACGTGATCTTCGACGGTGGGCATGGCCGTGCCTACGACCCCGATGAGACCCAAAGTCAGGATGGCCGCGCCGAGTACGTCCCTGATGAAGGTGGGCAAGACCGTGCTGACTACGACCATGGTGACTCGTGGCATGAAGACGATGACATCTATGTCAAAGGTGATGATGAAGAAGAAGAAAGCAATGACATTGATATTAGTGGTGCGCCATTGTTCATCGACGAGCTCACCCAAAGAGCGGAGGCACAAAAGAAGAGGAAGTGCATTCGCGCGGGTTCATATACACAAGATGGGGACAAGTTGATTTGCCAAGCTTGGATGGAGATTAGCCAAGATCCGAGGACCGGCGCGCAACAAAAGGGCATTGTTTTTTGGACGAGAGTCCACAAAACATTCCATGAAAGGAAGATGTTTGAGCCCTTCCAAATTACAAGCAACCGTGGCATCGACTCGATTCAAAAAAGATGGTTGTTCATCCAACAAGAGTGCAACAAGTATTGCGCCGCATTTGAGAGCGTTGAAGCACGGTCCGTGAGTGGTCTCGGTGTTGGGGACATGGTATGATCTCCTTTTTCTAGCCCTTTCCTTGCTACGGCCATGAGACTTCGGCCGTGTATATGCTTGCATGTTCACTTGTTGTTGATCACGTGGTGTAGGCATTCCAATCTTTGGAGGCATTCAAGGCCCTGCACAATGACAAGCCATTCACTCTTACGCATTGTTGGACACTCATCAACATGTGCCCTAAGTTCAAGGACCAATACCGTGAACTACAAAGGAAGAGAGGACTAAAGACGGCCAAGTTTGCCGGAGGTGGAGATGGCGAGGCGTTGAAGAGGCCGAGGGGCAATACCAACTCCAAGGTGGACGAAATACGTGACGCCTCATACATGGCCTTGCATGAGACTTTGCATGGCATGATGTCTCAAAAGGATGTGAGGGACGAGAAGAAGCGGCAAAGCAAGGACGAGCAAATGAAGCAATACCTAGACCTTCAAAGACAGAAGCTTGAGATGGAGGAGGTGGCCAAGAGGAGGAAGATCGACATGGAGGAGGCGGCCCGGCAAAGGCAGCTCAACATGGAGGAGGCGGCCCGACAAAGGCAGCTCGACATCGAGGCCGACAACGTCAAGGCCAGGCAGAGGCAGCTCGACATCGAGGCCACCAATGCCACCACCAAAGCAAAGAAGGTGGCCCTTGCGATCATGAGCGTGGACTTGTGGAAGATGAGCGACAAGACGAGGGCCTGGTTCGAGGCCAGGCAGAAGGAGATGCTCGACGCCGAAGGCCTGAACTAGGTTGTCCGATTGGCGTGGCCGTTCTTTTTTAGGCTGGCATGGGTGCCGCCCGTCCGGCCGCTGGTAGTGTGCCGGCGAGAAAACATTCATTTTGGAGGCCGACTGTGTTGCCGGCCGCTGGTTGTGTTGCCGACGAGGAGAACTATTCATTTTGGAGGCTGGCTGTGTTGCCGGCCGCTGGCTGATGCCGGCGATGGACGTGTAGGCCGCTGGCTCTGTTGCCGGCGTGATGAACCGGGGCCGCCGCTGGCCTGAACTAGGGCTTGGCATTTGAAATGTTGCTTTTAGTTTTTTAAGTATACGCGGACAAGATGGGGCAAATGGATGCGGCCGCGCGCTGGGCGCACGGCCACCGCATCCCAGGACACGCCCGGACACTACCCCAA